CCCCCCCCCCCGATTGACCAATCCGGCCACACAACAAATAAAGAGAAGCTAACCTCCGGCTCGGGGTGCCCCCCCGGCGCCCCCATCATCCCCTGCCCCTCCGCCACGCCGTTGCTGCGGCACAGCGACAGCAGGAACCCGTCCTTGGTCTCCACCACCGCCCCCACGCCCAGCTTCTGGGACAGGTAGGCCGCCTCCAGCCACGGGTGGTCGCGCGCGCTGTCTGCCGCTAGCGTTGCGGCCGAGGGGGACCAGTTCGTTCCTGTCGTTCGTCACCGGAGCAACAACAGCGGCGGGAATGTGTGTGTGTGTGTGTGTGTGTGTGTGTGTGCTTTTATTATTAGCATCGACCGCGCTAACCGGCTGACCAATGAAAAGACTTTTTTTTTTGTGTGTGTGTGTGTGTGTGTGTGTGTGTTTTATTATTAGCATCGACCGCGCTAACCGGCTGACCAATGAAAAGACTTTTTTTTTTGTGTGTGTGTGTGTGTGTGTGTGTGTGTTTTATTATTAGCATCGACCGCGCTAACCGGCTGACCAATGAAAAGACTTTTTTTTTTGTGTGTGTGTGTGTGTGTGTGTGTGTGTTTTATTATTAGCATCGACCGCGCTAACCGGCTGACCAATGAAAAGACGTCAGTCTCAGTGCGGTTGAAAATACAAAACACTTCTATCTGCCATGAAGTGGGACCCCGTTAGGGGGCAGCATGGGGGAGGCTAAAGTATCCTTCTTTTCAAAGACAGAAACAGCAGCAACAGAAGAAAACTGCACGCGTCTACCAAGGCTATTACCTTGTACTCGAGTTCGGTTAGGAGTACTTTCACCAATATCCTCCTTGTTTTCGCTACCATCATTCTGATCCTCATTTTGACAAGAATCTCTGGGCAGATCTTCCCTAGTCCTACGTTTTTTCTTTTGGGGAAGGTCATCTGGCTCAAACCCTTTGCTCTCTTCCACTCCTCCATGTTTTCCTCCTCCATTGTCGTCTTCGTCCTCCTTTCTTCCCTTTCCCTTTCCTTCGTCTCCGTCACTCCCAAAAGAATTACCCTCATTACTATCGTTGTCGCAGAGATCCCAACCGATTGGCCCTGGTGGAAGTTGGTCGATCAGTAGCCCATGACGTCTGAACACATCGCGACTTCGCATCGACAGAAAACGAGCTAGCTCGAAGGTAAACCGTCTTCGAATCCTGTTAGTATGAAAAGCTTTCAGGCGAACGAAGGCTCTTTCGTCGTCGAAATTCCCCCTGCAACAATCTTCGTGATCCAAGTGGTTGGCGATAGCAACGATGAGTCGATTGGTGCCTTTGCCAAGACCACCATTCGTTGAAACAGCAGCAGTAAGGAGGGTAGATCTAGACGGGATGAAGGTTCCCGCATAGTGAAGTGTGTGCATGTGTGTGGAGGCGTACTTTCCTTTGAATAGCAAGGTGGCGCTGTTGTAGTGACAGGCCAAAGCACGCGGGAGGAGTTGCGGAGCTACTTAGCTCTGCTGGCTGGATGGGTCGATCAGTTCGTCAGTATAGATGTGAAATACAAGTTTGTGGGAAAGTAGTGAAAAAGCATAGGGTTGGCCAAGGACGGGTAGACAAGGAGAAAAGGAACACGGAGGCAGAGAGAGAGAGAGAGAGAGACAGCGAACGAAAGCGAAACATTCATCCCCCCGGCTACCTACAATAGTCAAGCACACGCCCTCACCCCGAAACGTTCTGTAGTCCGTCAGGCCGAGCCGAAGCCGCAGCTTTCGCGTCGGCGGCGACGACGACATCGGAGAGCGAGACCGCCGCCGGGCGGCGTTAGTCAGCGGCGGCAGCGGCGGGGTGTGCCTCCCGCCCCCTCCTCCCCCGCCACAAGAGTCCGTCGTATCGGACACGGCACCGCCGGCGGCGTCAGCGGTAGCGGTAGCGGTAGTGATAGCCGTGGCCGACGATTTGCGGTTGCCTTCCGTGGAGAACCCCGCCAACCGGAACTTGGAGCCGTTGAACAGGAGGGGGTTCTTGGCCAGTTGCTCCTGCCAGAGGACTTCTATGTTCGCCTCAACCTTGGGGGGGGGGGGGGGGGGGGGGGGGGGGGGGGGGGGGGGGGGGGGGGGGGGGGGGGGGGGGGGGGGGGGGGGGGGGGGCGGGGGCGGGGGCGGGCGGCACACGATAAAAAAAACAATGGGCACACGGTGCTCTTCCGTAGATTAACGCTGGGGAGGGATGCATATCTTGCCTGATTGTCGTCAACACGTGGCCGCTCTCTGAACGATAACGGCGGCCCAGCGATCATTGAGACAGAGGAGATGGGAGGGTGCAAGGTAGGAGCTTAAGCTTTCATCCAACACCGGAACCCCCTGAGCCCGCGACCGACGCAGCGATTTGCACCTCATTTGTTTCTCCGGCAATCTTAGCGAATACAGTACGCACACATCGAGGCATCCCCCGCACACAATACGCCGCCTCGAGCCCGCGACTAACCTATATTATAGTCAGTGCTGGCTATAAGTCTTACAGTTTGTTTTCCGGCTTCTACGAATGGAAGGGTGGGAAAAACCTGCGAGCAATCGAACCTTAGCCTTTGTACGGGGTGTCGAAGATGAAGATAAACCTGCCGGCAGCTCCGTACGGAGACGTGTCTCACCTCCGGGTCGGGGTGCGGCTTCCTCGAGTACGCCTCCGCTACGTCGACGCGCACTTGATCCCTCCGCAGCGGGGTCTCCAGCGCCGGCTCCAGCAGGTACTCCGCGCCCCCGCCCCAGGCCATATCACCATCCCCTGCAGCCGACGGCCTTGCCATTGGGGTCACGGGCTCGCCAACGGCGTCAGCATCCGCAATGACAGCGCCACTAGCGGAATGCAAGACACACTTGGCCCTCTTGGCGCCTCTTTGCTGTTCGTCGTCTTCTTCCTCCTCCTCGGCTTGCGGAACGTCGCCGCCGCTGCTGTCTCCGCCGCTGCTGCTGCCGCCGCCGCTTCTGTCTCCGGAGGAGCCGTCCTCGTGCGCGCGCCGCCGCCGCCGCCGCCCCAGCGGAGACCCAGAGTCGTCGCCGCTCGTCGTTACGGCGGGAGACCTTCGCCCATCTACAACTCCCCCTCCGTCTTCTCCCCTCGCCGGTCCCGGTGCGGCTACAGGACCTACCTCGGGGCATTCCCGCTCCGAAATACCGCCACTGCTACTGCCGCCGTTGCTGCTGCCGCTGTTCCCCATCGCGCTCTCTGCCATCGCCACCGCCGCCGCCGCCGCCGCCGGTGACGGCGTAGCCGTAGGCTTGGTCGCGATCGACACTCCAGCGGCGCTAGCGAGCGCCGGGAGGGTTGCCTCCGCCCGTCCGAGGACGGTCTTGGCGTCCAGCGCGGGGGAGGACTTGAGGCTCACCGACACGTTGAAGTCGAAGACAGGGATGCCTCGCCGCTTGGCCTCTCGTATCGCCAACGCTGTTGAACGTCACAACGCGGACAACACGGGGCGGGGGGGGTGACGAAGGGCCGAAGGGGGGCCGAGCCGGGGGAACGAAAATAAGTACAAAGACCCCAACAATTGGGGGGATGGAAAGACGTTCCTACGCATGTGTATCACACGTGAATGGGGGTAGGGCGGCGCAACTCCTCTCTTCCACGTCGTTGGGGTGACAACGTGGCTGAGTGCGGCAGGTAATACGCCTGTTTGCTACCCAAGCGCAAGGTAGGCATGCCGGTGCACGCGGAACGTGCTTAGTATTCTGGGGGGAGGGCACTCAACAGGTAAGCGTGACGGCGAAAGAGGTGCCCACGAACACAACGGCGTCGGCCTCCTTGAACCAGTCCTCCGCCTTCTCGAACTCGTAGAAGCTGTGGCTGTCGTAGTCCTCGTCGAACAGCAGGGACATGGGAGAGGACGCCTCGCCGCAGCCGGGGCACCTGGCGCATTCGTTCGGGTTGGTGCCGGGAGCGGAGCGGTGCGGAGCGGCGCGGAGGTATTCGATAGGCCACGGGTGGTAAAGAGGAGCTCGTGGTTATATCCTCGATATACAGGTTTCGTAAGAAGCCAAAGTAGGAGTTACAGGGGGGAAATGTGCAGCTGTCCTGTCAACTGTCGTGATTGTAACGTGAAATTCCGCGTTGCATATGGGGAGACATGTCGGGCTATTTGCATTGCTATGAAGCGTGACGTACGTACAAGTGCGTCAATTGACGCGGGCGATGCGTTGCTTCGGCGGTGAAGAACTTGATTTCACAAAAAGATCGGTGTCGCATGCACCACTCACTGTAAAGACTTCAACACATCCCTTTCGACTGTGGTATTTTCTCGAACGGGTGGACTTTATGTGAGGTTTTGTATACTTTCTCAAAACCATGACGCCGGGTATGTTCGCAGCGTCGAGAGTTGGGCTATAGATGCGTCCATCAGACACAAAGAATGCATCAATACGTTGTGCCCCTAGGTGCATGTAAATCGAATCGAATTGGAGGCAAAGTCTGGTGCAGAGCAAAATAACGATTAGACGACCCTCCGCGCGTCATCCGCATCGAAGGACATGAAAACGCAAGGCGGTTTTGGAGCGATGGACCAGATACTTGTAGTACGCCACAAAAAACGAGTACTGGTAGAGAGAGACAAACAGCCAGAGAGACAGAGAGATAGCCAGAGAGAGAGACGCACACGCACATACCGCGGCATTTCAGTGAGAGAGCGCCCGAGCCCTCTAGCCGCCGCCGTGTGCGCGTCGTCGTCATCCAGAGTGAGAGTAGCTCTTACGCTCTCCGTAAAGTCTTCGGGCCTGATCTCCTTGTCGAACGAGTAAGGACAGCAGTCGTCATCATCGCCGTCGTCGTCGCCATCTTCTTCCTCTCGATCGTTGTCGACACCCACTTGGCCTTGCCCCTTCTTGTCCTGTGGACGGAGGAATGAAAGCGTATACCATAGCGGAGCTTCAATATTGGAGTAGCCGGTGTCAGGGGCTGCGCATGTCAATTTTGAAGAGAGATAAGAGAGGGAGAGGGAGACAGACAGAGAGACAGAGAGACAGCGACAAAGAGACAAAGAGACAGAGAGAGAAACTGACATGGATAAAACTTGTTGATGTCTGTTTATCTAAAGCTGACCGCAACGTTGGCGAAAGAACGGCATGACCCCCATTCCGTTTGACAGGAGGAGGTCGAAATGCCAACAGGAACAAGATGGGATCCAGCAAGTACACTTGGCACTCCGCGCCAAACCAAGACCCCTGTATCCCCCTTCTACAAATAACGCGTGTGTATGGTTACGATATTGTGTTCAAGATCTATGCCTGCGAGTGACGGCGGTAGATTGGATGACAAATGCTTACATTTTAGAAACTAGCAGAATACCTATCTGGTAAAGGAGGCCGCCTTCTCATCGTAGAGGGCCTATTCCAGTTGGGGTGGGGAGCCCAAGATCGACCCTCGGACTTGGCGTCTCGAGCTTCGCGATATACGAAGGCATGCCTCTCGAGTCCGACCACCAAGGACAAGAGCTACACCAGCTTCTCTCCATGAAAGATGTCTCATCAACATACACTACAGCGCGCCCTTGCCTTCCCAACTCCCTCCTTGCTGCTGTTGCTGTCGTCTTTGTCGTTCTCCGCGATGCACTTGAACAGCCCCAACCGGCCGTGCGCCTCGATCAGGCGCGCCGGGTCCGGCCAAGGGTTTGCGGTATCCTGGTGCTGTTGTGCCAAAGGCATGGCGGGGTAGCGGGGTAGCGGGGGCGAGGGTCCGGAGCGGTTGTTCAGGGTTGTGCGAATGTACCGTGGTTAGGGCTTGCTTAGAGTCCCCTGACCACTAGAAATCAGTTGAGAATCGTGGGGCGAGTGTACGTACGGACTGATTTCGAAGCGTGCTGCTGTAGCACGATACCCTCCTCGCCGAACGAGACGACAAAAACGAAAGCTTCCTTTCGAGGCGGACAAAATCTACCTCTCAAAAACAGGCCACATATATATACCTCTCGAAGAACAAGCCGCACTCCCAGATGAACCTTGCGAGATTGTTTTACCCAAAAAACAGGAGGGCCCTGTTGCGAGCGGGCGTCAATGTATACTTGCCGCATGGTCTCAGCGACCCCTTCATTCCTGGACCCTTCTTGCTTGCTTGCTTGCAGCAGACGAAAACGCACATGCTGCTGGCAGCGGCAGCAATAGGAGGAACTCCTGTGGGTGAGGCGTGCCTGAGCGCTGTCCGTCCATGCGGCACGAACAAAAAAAAATACACACACACCCGCACCCGCACACAGTTTGACGTCTTCTCGTGAGGCAGTTGGCTAGCGCCGTCGATGCTAACAACAAAGACAAGCACAGAGGCATACACACGCACACGACGATGTAAAAAAACAGCAGGCAAGAAGCTCACCAACCCGTCGATGTTCTGCGTCACGACGCGCAACGCGGGAAACTCGCGCGCCAGGGCCGCGAGGGCCTCGTGGCCGGCGTTGGGCGTCTTCCGCGTGAAGCTCATGGGGAAGTGCTTGAGGAAGAACTCGTTGTACCACCGGAGGGGATCGCGGCGGAACACGGAGCGCCTGCCCTGGGCGGCGGCCGTGACGCACCAGACCGAGTCGCTTCCGCCACGGAAGGTCGGGATGCCTGTTGTCGTTGGTGGTGGAGGCGGTTGTTGTTGTTGTTGTTGTTGTTGTTGTTGTTAATGTTGTTGTTGTTGTTGTTAATGTTGTTGTTGTTGTTGTTGTTGTTGTTGTTGTTGTTGTTGTTGTTGTTGTTGTTGTTGTTGTTGTTGTTGTTGTTGTTGTTGTTGTTGTTGTTGTGTTGACGTGTCGTTATGGTCGGAGGAGAGGACGAATTGAGGGAAAGGGGCGTGCTGGGGTTAGCGTTGGGGTTCTATATTCAAACACTGCTGTACCAGCGTTCGTGAGGGGACGACGGGGGAGAGCTGTGCGGAGGGGCTGGGGGCGGGTTCTTTTGCTGGCATTCGGATAGTGAAGCCACTTCTGTGATCATTCATCTTTCTTTGGATACGTCGAAATTTCGGAGAAACATAAGTGTACCAATTCTTATATTCGAATACTCTAGCCAGTGAAGAGGGGTCAGTCTCGGTGCGGCTATAAAACAGAAAACGATTCAAAAGGCAATTTCCTGGGGCACCGTGACGAGCGGTCAAGGGGAAGGCCAAGCTATTCTTCGGATTGAAGACAACATCGGTAGCAGATGAAGACAAAAATACAAGTCTACTTCCAACTCGTGTTCTCGTCATTGCTGGGTCGATCGTCCTCTTCCAGTACTTTTCTTCTATATCTACTACTATTTTGACATTGGCCTATCCCTCCGGCGTTTGTTGCGTGGAAGATCAACTGGGTCGAAACTATCTTCAGGTCTCCACCACGCCCTCTCGTCCTTTCTTCGTTTTCCGTTTTCCGTCACTCTTTGGAACCTCCTTCGTCACTCACTGCATCATTCGTCTCCCTCACGCCGCCATCACCCTCCTTGTCGCCAACATGTGTATGCGTGCATGGGCATCAACCGCGCTAACCGGCTGAGCAACGAAAACACGTCAGTCTCAGTGCGGCTCAAGAACGCTTCGTACAAAGGTCTGAGGACCCCGTGTGAGGTGCCTTTGAATGCGGGGTTCCACTTGCTAGTTCGACGACTGCTGCTGTTGTTCCGAAACAAGGACCACAGCTCTTCAGCAACGACCGCGGCCGCTGCGAGTGTGGGGATATCCCTCTTTCTTTTCGACCAGCGTCGGGAGTGGTAGCGAGCGCGAGCGTGGGCGGTACCTATGAGCATCAGGATCGTGCGGCTTAGACTGGTTGAAACGCGGAGAGAGAGCATGCGAAGATTTACGGATCAATAAATAAAGGTAACCACCTCCCTCTGAGGCCCACAGCAGTATTAGAATTTGTCTACATAGGCATCAGGAGATTGTGAGATAGGCATACACACAAGTGATGTACGGTACGGTGACGGTCAGATACGCTGTGCTTCAGGCTCATACGACGAACATGGCCAAGAGAACGGAACGTGGGAGCCCTCACGCCGGTTGATGTCTGGTGTCTGATGTCACTGCGCGGCGGCGGGACTGTGAAAAATATGCCGCATGTAAATCCAATCGTCGCGAGATGCGAGTTCGCGAAAAACAAGTGCGTGCGTGCGCGAAACCACGGGCGACGGGCTGGCAGTGTTTACTTCTCTCCTCCGGAGGGAAGAGCGCGCTTGTAGCAGTTCATATACGCTTGCAGACAACTAGAGATACCTCTTCGTTTTCTTGCGGACATCCAGCGTGGGTACCGGCAACACCCTTAGCCAGCGGAGTAAAAGGGATTCTCGCTGTGATCGCGAACACCAGCAGTCTGTCTACAGTCTATTACGCTTGACGAGAAAAAAACTGCACGCGAACAAAGGGCTACCTGCAACAACATGGTCGGGTGTGCGCGACGCTGTCGAGTACGGGATCGGGTGTGCTCGACTTCTTCTGCTAGCCGCTTACTTTTTGCTTCGAAATACACTCGCCGAAGCTTCGCATGCTCCGCGGGAGATGCTTACCGCTTGCCGCCGACAAACCAGCACCGGTGATGATCACCACGGACTTGTTGGCCTTGAGGAGCCCGGCGAGCTCAGCCAGGGTCGTCTCCAGGCCACGGACGCTGCTCCGGTGGCTGCGTGTGCTAGGTCCGCTCATGATGACAGCACAAGGTTGCAGGGTGTGCCGGTGTTCGTGAGCTGCCTCTGCTGCTCTGCTGCTGCCGTGCTTGCCGAATCTCGTCTGGCTCCGATTTGGAGACCGGTTTTGAAAAATAGGATCGTGTGCGTAGATTTCTCTCTCTCTCTTCTAGTAGCTCTCGAGTCGCACACCATAAAGTAGACGCGGACACGCGCCCACGTAGCACACCGAGCACGAGAAGGAAACTTGGCGCGTTTCGCAGGTGGAGGGGATGCTCCGTCGATCTCGATTTTTCGTTGGCGAGAAAAGGGAATATGCGATGATGATTTTTGTCGCGTGCGGAAAAAACAAAGTACGGGGAGGATAGTACCCATCCCCTGATACTATCAGGAAGGCGTTTGGTTCAGTTCAGGTTCTCCCTCATCAAAGGTACAGTGATACCTTCTGCGGGCCCCCTTCTCGCAGGCGTCAGGTGTGATGTGAAGCTCATGTGAAGTGCAAGCAATTCAGTAGCTGGCGCGTAGTTGACCCTCACACGAGCACACGCCACGTGAAACATGGAGCCTTCAGTGCCCACACGTATGTCGCGGCAGCTGACGGGGGGTAACGTGCAGGAAGATGGAACTCTGCTCGGCGCTGGCGCCCCCGCCGCCGGAGGTGCCGGGTCGGACTGCAGCAAGAGCGACGACACCCGGGAGGAAAAAGCGGTGAATTTGTGCATGATTGGGACGGGCGAGTACACCACGGGCTACGTGCACGGTGGCGCCTCGGACTCCGACAAGGGCGCCGGAGGTGGGTGCAATGCGGGGGAGGTATTATTTTCGTGGCTGCCGCGATCTGGCTGGTACGGAAAGCTCCTGTAGTGTTCTGCGTGCGGTGTTTTGCAGTATCCAAGATGCACAATCGTCTCGGAGAAACAGCGCCGGATTGGCCAGATTGCCCGCCTGCACGGGGGGTAAAAAGTCACAGCAGGCCTGCTTACGGCACAGGTGCGCCGGCCCTCTCCAGTACCTTATCTACGTTCAGTTCGCTTGACTTGTGTGCTTCATGGCAAGTGAGGCATATTCTCTCGTGACTTCCGCCTCACAGTTGTTTTGTTGTGTCCCGAACCGATCATGGCAGCCCCTCTCACCGAGCGAGACCATGCCGTGCATGCGTTATTGAGCGGACTGAGTGCATGCCTAGGTAGTAACCGAAAATGCGGCATTATCTCTCCCATGGCTACAACATCCACCCACCACGGGGGCACTCGCGTGCGATTCGCCAGCCTTCTCCTACGGTGCACCGGGCTCAGCGAGAGACCGGCCGCATGTTGTCATGCAGTCACTGCTCGCTTGCGACCTCTGCGTGTGTGTACCTGCTGCTTGCGCTGTAATAGCGTGTATGTACCTACTCGGCATTTCCGAGAGGACTTCGGAACGGTCTCAAATACCTTTGGTCCCCGAAGCAGCAAGCCTTGCATTCGCTCTTTCAGGTTCCCGCACAAACACCACCAGCAGCAGCAGCAGCAGCAGCAGCAGCAGAAACTCGTGTGCTACTGCAACCTGTGCTGCTATTGTTAAGTGTACACGACCGGCAGCATACAGCTGGTGGCGTGTGTCCAGTGTTGGTGCGCACGTATGTAGTCCAGGCTGGTGGTAAGCTACCATCGGTACGACTGCTTCATGCAAGGCACGCCCATGCGTGGCATCTTCGGGTGTTGAGGACCATCTCCGATTTGGTTTCCATGGCACACGCACTGGTTGTCAGGATGACTCTGTCCTGTGGCCGTGGGGCGGAAGGTGTTGTGTTGTCGTTCCACGATTCATCGTTCCCTCGTCGTCCTCAAGAACGTTCTGTCGGGAACGTTTCGGAAGTTCCTCGATTGATCACTTCGGACTGATGGTGGTGCTGGTGCTGGTGCTGGTGCTGAACAATACTGATGGATGTTGTCGTACGACCCCCCAAGAGTCATGAATCGCGCTGTCGTACTTGCCATACCCTGACTAAATACATGCCACCGCCCGAAATATCATCGACTGAATTCGTTACACGCAGGTGTGCCATGATACAACGATGAATACGATATCAAGTACGTTCCCTCCGCCGCCGCCGCTGTTCTGCCTCCGCCCCCCCCCCCCCCCCCCCCCCCCCCCCCCCCCCCCCCCCCCC